GAATTTTTCATTTATCTGTTTGGCACTTTGACAAAGTCTGCATTATTGTTCCGCTTTAAAATAAAAAAATAAAGCACTTGATTTACACACACAAAATATTTTATACTTAAAGAAAACTTAAGCCTCAGAATCGTCACGTCAAGTTTGCACCATCAAGAGGGAAGATTTGAAGCTCCAAGCGTTAAAGACGTAATTTCACGAATGATCATTTCGGCGATTCTCCATGCTAATTCCTCTTTAGCCTGTTAATAGTGAGATTAATGCATTAATTAAATAATGCACATTACATGTAAATAAATTATCATTATGACTTTTATTAACAAATTCTAACATTATTAAAATGCCAGTATTATAAAATTTACCTTATCTTGTTCTATATTTACAAATCGTTTTACAACACGAGTTAGGCGAGATTCTGAAATTTGTTTACATAATTTTATACAATCTCATATATATACATATCAGCTCAAATTCACTATAAACGTGACTTACCATATTTTCTATGAGGATCTGGTTCTATTTCAGTAATAAATCTACCTAAGTTGTCAACATAACCAATGCTCAAACTATAAAATATATCGAATTATTTGTAGCTTACAAATTAGTACGAATGTGTGTACAATATTTAATTGTCAAATACCTATATTTATTACGTCGCCATAAGGAATCTGGATCGTAAAGTTGCCTAGTGTCAATATTCAGATGACTATTAATAGTTTTCTTATTATCAGGTAATCTGTTGCCATTATTTCCTATTTGAGAAATACTTGGCATACTAGTACACACTGAGCTTACTTCACTGCTGCAATCTGAACCTACAAATAAATATATATATATTTTTCAAAATTATAATATATATTATATAAATATATAAAACTGTCTTCTCTCTCTATAAAAATTACATATATAAAATAAGAAAATACAGATATTAAGATATAACTCTCTAATTTTTTAATATTCTTTTACGAATATTAACACGTTATTGCAATCAACAATCGATATCAACCTGTTCTTCTTATCTTGGAATGTAAACTCGGACATGGACTGGTTTGAATCGTGTTGATTAACTCTGATAAGTATTTATAATACAGCTGCGACGATAAGAACACTGGCAGATAATGCTAGAAGAAAGTATTGGCTTTTAATACAACTACCTCAACGTAAGAGTCTATTTAGTAAGTGTAGTGTATGAAGTTAAAGATAAATTTGTGTAATAGATGAGTGTACCTTGTCAAGAAAATTATATACAATTTTACTGGGTTTATCAAAACAATCGGGCTGTGGACCGCCTTCGTCCTCGCGACAAATATTCTGTTCCACATGAAAACGAATCTTGTCACTAAATCCAAGAGGCATGGTTGCTTGTAAACTGAAATATCTGTGATAAAAGTAATAACATTATAAATTATTTTTACTTCTTTCCTCCGTATAATCATACATATTTTAGAAATTACTTCTCATATATAATAACGGCATCAGATTGCGCTTCTTCGGGATTAGCTGCTCCTTGCTTCTCCAAGAGATTCTGCTTATAACTTATAGCCGACATCCAAAAGTCCAATAACTCTCGCTTATTCTCGAGTTCCATAAACTGTAAAGAATGTAAAGATTAGAGTATCTTACGAAAATTTCTGTAAAAGTAACGATCGTGAAAGACGATGCAAACCTCCATAAAATAAAAGAATGCTGTTTCGTTGTATAATATATCTGCTAATTGTACATTGCCACTGGTGAGCACGTCAATTTGATGCTTACAGTGAAATTCGCTTCGTAAAAAATCATTAATATACCTGCAAAAAATACAATTTTTTAAAAATGTATTGGTTATTTATTCAAACGACACTCACATCAATAAATATATGTTACTCACTCGTTTTCTAATATATTGTATACTATGCTTTGAACAGCAGATAGGCACCGTAATATAGGCTCAATGTTTTCCTGGACAATGGCCTTCTCCATGTCTAGCCTTAGTTCCTCAGATATTTGATTTACACCCAGAACTTCTTTGAGAATGTACTTTTTGTAAATTCTCAAAGCGTCCTGCCTGGTCGTCGTCATGTCGTGTCTCCTGCCTTCACAATCGTGGTTTGATTGTCGCGTGTCGCTTACTGCCTGACTAGTCTTTGGCATACCGTTAGACGTTACATCACCCGTTCTTTCATCAAACGATATTTCACTGCTCGTTTGAGTATCTACATCGTTAGCAAGCATGTCACAGCTAAAGTTTTCATTATCGTCTAAGGAAGTAGGTAAGGCGTTCAGCATCTCTTTTTGATCCGACCGTCTGACTTTTTGTGTGTCTGGCATCCCGGATGCGCTACACAGGCACTCCACCTCCAACCAGAACTTGATGAGAGCTATGTGCTTTTTGGTATCCATAAACTGGATGAAGTAACCAAGGGCACTTTTGTCCTTAAGTATTTCTGGCAGAGCTTTAGACAACTGAGAGCTGAAGGCGCATGCTTCCTTAATGTCATTATTGAGAATCTCCTCCTCCTCTTCTTCCTCGAGACTGCACAATACACCCGAGGGTGTCTGAATAGATGATGCATCACCATTGAATGCATCTACCAGAAAGTTTCCGGAGCTCGTCGATTTTGTAGGTGAAGTTTCTGGTAATCTGGACTTATCCCTTTGTCCTAGAAGCATTATATGCAATTTCATTCTGACAATTAAAAATCAATCGTTAAAATTGATGAAAAAAAAAATACTATATTGTAAACACAGTCTTTTTCCAGGAATAATTATCAGGCAATTTAATTTACTTTTGAATGTAAATTATATATATATATATGTGTATAAAATATATACATACATACAAATAAGCAAAATTCCAATTCGAATGGCAAAACGCAATTTCTAAATATCAGTGGAAACAGGAACGAAAGAAAAAACAAAATAAAAGGAAAACATGTTGCGTGTTGGAAATGTCAGAAGGTCAGACTTGGACACTAAGATTGTGCATGCTAGACGAAGAATTAAGATGATTCGTCCGCTTCGTAATTTACATCGCGATATAAAAGCGACGTATGATATAATTACCAATCTTCTTAAAAAATTGGAGCATCGTTTGTGTCAGCGCGTAGCATGATAAAGGTCGCCGATGACGCGAGGGTCGTTGAAAGGTAAACAACGGATGATGCTTTACGAGTGCGGTAGGAGCGCATCCCACGGAGCGCGTGAACGACACCGCTCCGAAAGTGTCAAGTTGTGCCGCGCGATCGGGATCGCAGTTCGGGCGACGACGACGACGGTTCCGAGCCTCCGCGCTGCGTGGGTCTTGTTAACGGCGATGACGTTCCGCACCCGGGGCTAGGCGCGCACGCGGCGGCGCGCGACATTTCGCCTCGGCGTCATTATCGGGCGTGCGAGATGACAGATTACTGTTGTTTGCATCGTCGCCAATTACAACACACACTCGCGCAAGGTGCAGGCAGGTGCAGCAATGCGAGGAATCCGCGGGCCGCCTACACTTCCTTCTTCAACCCCCGCCAGACCTGTTCTTTGTATCCGTATGACTATGTCATACTTCCTGCACTTGGAATTAAGTGGATAAATAATTGGATGTTGAAAGGAAAAAAGGAGGAATGAACTATATGAAAAATTTAACTATGAAGAATGAAATTTATAGGTGTTTGACGTGCACTTTCGCGCTCCAACGGCGCGAATATAGGTAGGCAAGGGGTGAAGGGAAAGTGTGGAAAGTGCACTTGTAGCGAGCGGAACCACTGGCACTTAAATGCGCGCGTTTTTCGAATACTTCAAAAGATTGCCGGAATTTTATATTATTAAAATTTTATGTTTCTTTTATTTATTTCGTGCACTTGATGCGCTTTTTCTCTTCTTATGAGATTTATCAGTGTTTGTGAAAAGCAGAAAAACAGATTGTAGTGCGTTATTAAAGAATAATCCTTAAACATGTATATTCTATTTCTTGAAATATTTATACATTTCTATTTGTTTCATAATTTTATTTGTAACATTTATACCTGTGATGTTTCCAAAAAAATAAAATAATTAATTATTGCGAACGTTTCTCTTTTACTAATTTACATACTCTGTATACATATTCATGAAATTCAAACTTTCAGTTTCAACCATTACGCTTATTTCTATCAATGTATATTAATTTTAATCTCAATTCAATTAAAATATTGATGAAAACGGGTATTAAAATTTTAAATAAATTCAGAAGAGGTCTAATTAAAATTAAAATTCGGATTAAAAATGCCAGATTTTCTGTATCGTTGCTCGGATATACCTTCACCGAATCACAGTCTACATCTCATAAGATTATACCCAAGCATAACAATCATCACGATAACATCAAAATAACATTAAAATGAATAGTTATTGATGCTGTAAAGTAATTTTTAGTAATCAATTTAGAATCGTTTTGACGTCATTTTGATGTCATGACATATATTCTGCTTGAATATTTAAAAGACATATTTTCCTCAAGAGGAGTAACGAATTACAAAACGATACATTGTAAAGTTTCATACGTTGCAATTCTTTCAAAAGCACTTCGTTCTTTCTTGCAGACCTCTTTACTCTATTTATATATATCTAAGAAGCATTTTCTCTCTCTTTCGAACGAGTGAATTTGTCGAGCAGACGCCAAGTGGACGGTACCGTCCCGCCTGTCCGGATTCTCTCGAGATCGTTACGGGCACGTGCAAACACTTCTGATGACCGAAGTACGAAAGCGTATACTAAAATATACGTGAGCGACGATCCGATTGCGTGTACACACGCGATGTTATACGCGTTCCGAAGGCCGGCTGTCAAGGTAGACCGCGTAGCGGCGAGAGGGCAATGGCCGGGCATCGTACTCGCTGTACGAACGTCGAGAGGTGACAGAGAGACGCAGGAATACGAGACGAGGTGTCCATCGGGCGGTGGGTATACCGGTTTTGTATGTACGTGCGAACGTGGGACTGAATCGTGTCCCGAGATCGAACCGGCTGTCTCGTCAGCGGGTTCCCGCCGGAGGCGGTGAGGCGCATCAGGTCGGGGCCCCCAGGGTGTTCGCTACCATCCATTTTTCAGTCCTCTTCACGTCAGGATCGATCACAGACGATCATGCTCGCCCTACACGGCTTCCTCGTTATCGCGGCCTGTCTCGCCACCGTCGCGACGCCTCCCGCGCTGGCCAAGGCGGTCTACGATCAGCGACAGACCGGCGACGTGAACGTGCAGATTGACCTGAAGGACCTGCAGGTGATTGCGCTGGTCAACTCCGAGTTTCTGGATGATTATACGGTAAATCCTTTCCTCTTTTTAGTCTTTTTCTCTCTCCATTAACTGGGACGTATTTTTTTATTTTTCTCAGTTTTTTTCTGTTTCTCTTTTTCTCTCTCAAATTATTTCATATTTCTTTCTTTATTCGAAAAAGCATAAAAATTGAATTTTATTATGATATATTTTTTGATTTTGTTGCGCTTCAATTTGCCGTTGAAGAAATAGTCGAAGCTTTTCTTCAGTTTGTAACTGCGTTAGTTCTACATATACATATATGATGAGTTTGATGCGAGACTGAAACGAGCCTGTAATTTATAAAGTCCATTTTAGACATTTTGTATTCAGAATGCATTTTACAAATTACATATTTTGTTTAATAATAAATAGACTGCTTTGAGTATCACTGAAAAATTATCGACGATATTCACCGTCGACACCATGTTGCTTTCGCAGGATTACGATTACTTGTATGATTACGCCGACTTCACCATCAAGCCACCGGGAAACAGGCCTATCGTGAGTTCCACGACGGAGACCACGGAGAAAAATGATGTCACGTATGTTTCCGAGCCGCTGTCACAGAATTCAACCGTTTCGCCATTTATCAATAATATAAGCCTGACCACGAGCGATATAACGCTATCCGAAGGAGCCCCGAATGTTAATCCATCGAATGGTACCGGGAGCGACAAGACGCCATCCAAAGACGAAGAGATCTCGAACACTGATCTGTTGATTGGTACCACGAGCTCGACGCCGAATGCGGATAATGACGACGATAAGAGTCAATCGGGCGAAGAGGAGGCTGGAGCCGGAACAACTCCTTCGACCACGGTGAAACCCGCGCACGCCGTGCGATCGCAAAAGCGCTGCAAATCTGGATATGTTCCGAACGGCGACGGTCGCTGTCGACAAGCGAATCGACCGTGGCTGCGTCACTTGATACAACCGCGTGCGTACGACCGGATGCCCCACTCTGATGGATCGATCTTCCCTCGATCGACCGGATTCAGATGGCAAGAGCTAAAGGAGTAAATTTGGAAACAAGTGTCCTTTGAAGGTGTGCCATATATGCATCGAATTTACGCCATGTTTGCCTTCACATGGTGAAACAATCCCACGTTTTGCACTTTTGTAATGCGATAATTATCTCCGAGTACTTGACGCGCTTCCTTATATTTTGTTTCACAGTTCCGGATTATGACAAAAGAACTTTCCTAAAAGAGATAACACATAATTAAAGTATACTCACAGGAAGAAGCGCAAGCGCATGCATATTCTTAGACATATTTTTTGTAGCTGAACTTATACGATTCATCTTCTCTTTTTTTTTCTCTAACATAGAAAGAAAAGAAGTTCAGTTAAAAAGACCTCTCTTATTTCGTGCAAGCTTGTATTTTTTCCTCCGTTCATTTTAACTCTTGATTCTTCTTATCATCACGCTTGAAGTTTCTGCTTGAATGTTTGTTTTTAACTCGTGATTAACTGCGTCATTGAAATCCGCGATGGTTCATAACGATGTCGATGTACAAACGATCGGTATCGTTCCCACGCCAATCGACGTAGTCGATGTGTCCTATAAGTAATCCTGTGAATCCCCCTATCATCATACAGATTCCGTGTACCGGTTCGTGCAACGGTCTCACCGAGTGCGGCAGGCCCGCTACTCGCGCGGTCGTCGCAGTTGAGGAAAAGACCTCGCTCGTTTCGCTCGCGTTGCCCGAAGAGCATTGTATTGCAAGGTCGAACTTCGTTGCATCTCTCATCTCGCTTACCTACACGCATCACGACGTAGTGCGTGCGATTGACTTGTATACACCACGAGGATGGCGATAATCCAGATGTTATTTTTCGTCATTACGGCGTTTTTCGCAATCGCCAAGGTTGACGCCGCTCCAGCGAGATACGATCAACGGCAGGATGGCGAGATCAACGGGCATGGTACGCTAAAGAACCTCCTCTTCGTTGTGGTCTTCCCAGGTAGCGGTAGTGCCAACACTAACGATATAAGCGAGCTGGCATGGCATGCTATCGAGACGGCGGTACTCGCTCGATCGAAAGGACAAGGAGCGATCAAATCCAGTGAGGCAATTCACCAAGAAGAGCCCTATTCTGCGGAAATTCAGATAAATGAGAATCATCTAGATAAAGAAAATTCGGTACGAAAAGTGGAAGGAGATACGAAAACGTTGAACGTCTTGAATCAACAACCGGCATCTGTCGGCGACGGGCAAACCGAGAAAACCGACAGAATCGCGAGAAATGTGAAGAATTTCGACTTTCCGAAGAGCCGCGAGGTGCCGGCTCTTCCGGGATACTTCGTGAACATGAGGAAGACGTCCAGACCCAAGACGGTAGGCAGTGGCCGGGCTCGGAACGTGGTTGGGAACGTAGTTTGGAATCCTGACGATGAACCTGGAAGACCGGGAACATCGTTAAAGAAGCAGCTACCTGGGAAAGAGGACGTCGCACTGTCTTCTTCGAACGCTGAGAAAAATAACGTGTCTCCGCTGACCGAGGAGAAGCAACAGGAACTCAGACTGCTGGGCGACGGCGTCGAGAATTGCGGTCCAGGAAGACATCGCAACGCATCCGGCGTCTGCCAGTTCGACGAGTCGATCGATTCTCTTTAGTTTTAAGTTCCCATGGCTGTAGCTCTTAAACATCAAAATATATTAGTTATTATCATATGATTACTTCTCGTACGATATTTTATTTTTTATTTAATGTGAATTTTATATTAGATTTATTATATCTGCTGATAAAAAGCATTTTTTTTTCTTATTAGTACAAGAATCATATCACATAAAACGAAAAGAGCAACGAATTATTTAATTGGTTTAGTACATAAAACGCGCTGAATGCGAGATAATTATCGTTTTATATAAAGTATACATGTGCGATGATTTATGCATGTATCTATTAAGCTCTACTTGATCAATAAAATACTTAAACGACAATAACAATATGAATATGTATTTAAACATAAAGGAAAATTACGAAAAAAGTTGCAATGGTAAATCTAATTTTCTTTAATTTTAATTTAATTTTCATTTTCTTTTCCAAATCAATAAGTTCTTAGAGATCAAAAGTATATAAAGATCGTTGGTACCATTTTTTCGTTTGTTTAATACTTTCTACCTTTCTTATTCTTTTTTTGTCGCCACAGTATATAAATAACGCCTATCAGGAATTAGATTCTTACCGTCAGGAACTCTTAAAAGCCAAAATTCTGATCTTGTATTCTCCGATCGGGGACAGTCATAAAAGGCGCGCGGTACGTCGACCCTCCGGGGAATTTCCAGAAACCGAAGGTCGTTCCCCAAAGACCAGCGGCGATCCTGCGACGGCGTTGATTCGGTTCCCAAGGCGGAAGCGTGAGGAAAGAGCGAGAGGAAAGAGCAAGGGCAAGGTTACGGTAATAGGCGCCAAGTCGCGAGACGGGCAGATCGGGGAAACGAACTCACCGCGAACGGCCACGATAGGACATTGCCCTTTACAGAGATTGGTGACTATAGATGTGCGCACACCTACGTACACGTGTACGTATACACCTGCGCACCGCGTGTGATAACTATTACGCTCTGTCTTTAGCATCATCGCGTATCCCCCCGTCTCTTGCTCCTCCTTTTCCTTTGAATAAAACTGGTTATTGCCGCGAGGGACATCGACGCGCGATTGATACATCGCTGATGAGAATTACCAGCTTCAGCAGTCCCACCGCGCATCCATCGTTGAATATCGTTAATGCTATTAATATCATCACGTTCCTTTCCCCTGATGGCGATTTCGTTCGAAATCCGAATATGTAATAAGGATGAAGAGACGTTCGAGGATCATTTCCAACATCGCGCATCTTCTCTTAGCTGAAGATCAAATGGAGAAAAATACAATTAGCCGCAAGATAAAAATTCTTGAATTATGAATGACTGAAAATAAAAAATGACAAGGCCTTGTTATTTATCTTACAAGTAAATCTTTCGTCAATCTTAATTAAAAATTTTGTATATTAAAAATTCAATCTCAGAACTGAGAGATTATGAACGAAGGAACTTGTTATTAAATAAAAATATACCTTCTTGATAACGTCAACTTTATGAAAGTTGGCCCGGAAAATTGCGGACAGGGAAAGTATATAGTTCAGATTTAAACACGAGTGAATCTCTCCTCCAATCTTCTCATAAATTACAAAAGTTTTACAGCGTATCAACAGTGCCGTGACGATATATATGCCGTTAACGGCAGGTTGCTGTCAGTACGCCGAGGTTCTTGAACTTTTCCGGGGATCCGTTTCTAGAACCGACCGAAGGAAGGCTCAGGTTCGGATCGCCCAGGTGGGGATCGGGATCGTCTTCTGGTACGAGACATCGCCCGGTCATCACACCTCGAGCATCCTCCGTGTTGTCCAGACACGTCCTACGTTCTCCAACGTCGTTTCGTCCGCTTTCGTCCCATCTCGCGATACCGGTATTGGTCCCGGGCCAATCGCGTTATCTCATTAAGAATCATCGAAAAAAGTGGTCGATCCGAGTTCACGCCCGTTGAGTAAGAAGATAATTTGTAAATTTACAATCACAGCCGAACAGGAAACATCCTGCAGTCGCTGGCTTCAATCAGAATCGAGTAGAAAATAATAACTTAGGAACTGGAATCAAGTAGAGGGCAACTTGACGGATTTTAAGACAGACCGAAGTCAAGTAGACAGGTGAAACCGATAAGGTCACGAGTTGCATTCGAACGAAAGGCAACTCGACAAGTAGCCGTTCATCAATGTTATCAATCAACATGCGTGTATTTAAGACTGTACTACTCATCGTGTTCTTTGCAAGCGTTCAGTGTTTACCCGTCACCGACAAGCCGATCGAGTCCGAGACTAATTCCAAGATCGAGTCTGAGATCAAGGATGAAATCATATCGATGATACCGCAGGAGACAGCTGTAACCTTCGCTGCACCGACGTCCACGCTCTCCGATGCCATCGATTACTACGACCAACGGCAGAACGGGACCGAAAACTATCGCATCCACTTAGACGGCCTTGTATTCGTATTTGCACCGGTTGAAGCACTGCTCCTGGCCGGCGCCACCGCTGGCAACTCGGAGCATAATTTATCAACTTCCAGTCAGAAGGTATCCACTCCGCCGACGATCCAGTCCATCAACGAACTAGACAAACCCATCATTGATAGCCTTCCCAATAAAACCGATTTGGCGATCTCGAAGACACTAAACAAGTAAGAATCCATCTACTTCATATAGCTGTCCTAATAATCAATTTTATTAATTATATCTTATAATAATATTAACTATGTCAATCTTATAATTGTGATTTTATTGCTGGTGTTCACGTGTAATTTTAAATCTTTTAATTATAAAAATAATTCAGTGTACACTTTTTCGACGTACTTTTCTTATGTTCCAGACCAGCTGTACGGTTGGTGAATTTCTTGGCGCCCTTGATACGTCGCATACGTCATGTGCGAGGCACGAGCGTGCACTAAAACGATTCCTCGATGCTTGCATTCCAATACGTAATGTTCCGTCTACAGTATATATTAAGAAAACGGTATTTTCCTTTTCTTTTAATACAACGTGCGCTGTATTCTGTATTTCAAACTACAACTATTTAAAATAAGATGTTTGAAAAGAATATATTATTCTCTCCACAGGGATAGGATATCTGCATCTACAGGGATGATGGACGAATACTCGTAGAATATAACGTGTATGATTGACGACCGAATCGATGTCGTACCACGCATTTATATGGTGTCTAGTATTAATAAAGGGACGCGCTAATATTAGCGTTATCCTCGAGCTCATTTCTCTGTAACTTAAAAGATGGAACTTTTAAATGAAAATACATGAAATTACAGGAATGGCGATTTCATTCACCTTATCCGTACAATGTAACGGGCGGTTATGATTCAGTAACCACATATGTATTTACATGTTAAACAAGCTAAATGTAATATTCGTTTTGCCATAATTCCGTTTTGATTTAGCGTCACAGTACACAAATTACTATTCATTTACTTATAAACCAATCGTAATTGTTAGTGACGATTTTTGACAATTGGAAATTTTTTACATGCACTTACATGATATAATCTGCTTTAATTATGTGTAAAGTTATGTATATATAATACAATTATATGCATCTGTATATTTTTCAAGATATGAAAATTTATTTGATTAAACAATAAAATACATATGTGTTGTTGTTTGGTTGTATCATCACAATATTTTCTATGATTAAAGCTACGCTTAAGTTGAAGCACAGCTCCGTTTTAATAAAAGAAACCTCATCTGGAAAACGTTTATAATAAATCTCAACTTTGGTTTCACTGAGCAAGAAGTCTTTGAGATTTATTATAATTGACGTGTATACATCCTTAGATAAAAGAAATAAATTACACACATACACACACACACACACATACACACATACACAAAAATAATAGTACAAATTTTTTTTTTTCTAACTTTCGTCTATTAAGAAGCATCTTAAGCATCTTTATATCTACGATTTGTCATAAAATATTTCATTATCTTTTTAAATGTCACACAATGTAATTACGGTAATACAAGTATTGCATGATCAAAGACACAATAAAAGGTATCTGAATTCTATCCTTCCGTTTTATATGTACCTAGTTCTTGTTGTGTTCTCTATTAAATATCGTCATATTGTTATCTTAAATATAGGCTACCCTGTTTACTTCGAATGAAAAAGTATGTAATTAAAAAAATCGATTTTTTATAAACCTAATAATTTCACACATTGGAGGATTATTTTATTAAATATAAAATTCTATGATCAACTCGGTGGTAGGAATCAATATTGAATACATATACTGGCCAATAACAAATAACGATTTACAATTTCGTATTTTCACAGAAAGTGTACTAGCGTATCATATATTTAAATATATGTTAAATATATACATTTGGACATATAAGACATATATTTTTTGCATACACTAATACATTTACAAATATATATTCAAAATCATTAATCATTATTCGTGAATATATTTTACTAAATTCTGGTGAAAAAAATACAATGCAAAATCAGCAAAATTAAATACTTTGATATATTCTTCTACATGCTACGTAGATGATTGATTGAATTTTAACCAGTCATTTATTTTTTAAATAATTATTTTTTATACAATTATTTTAAAAACAGCGTTAAACCCGTTTTTTTTTCATATTTGATTTTTGCAATCTGGATGTATCCTATTTATACACATGTACACATGTACACCATTATATTTAGTGTGAAATTAACATTATAAAGCGCACAAAAATATATATTATGATGGAAGGAAAAATACATGTAATATTCAAAATTATGTGGTGTCTAAATTCTTGAAAATTCAGTCACCTCAAAATTTGAAATCCGATTTTTATAAATAACAATAAAACGTTCGTCGATGTTTAATATAATAATTCAGACTCTTAAAATTGACATGGATTCTTAAAAATTAAAATCATTTATAATAGTTAGGAAGAATAAGAAATTTATAAATATTTTAAAATATTAAGCGGAAGTCGCTCCACACAAGTCGAGTCGATCCTCAGTCTATTTCGCCAGAACTGCTATTAGTAGCAAGTACGGCCTCGATAAATTTTAATTCCTCCTTACTCGCCTACAGAGGAATTGAAGCATTTGACATCTCTTTCACGAAAGTTAATAATTTATCTCAGATATGGCAGTAGCGTGGAAGAAGTACACTATAAAAATGTATCGGCAACATCGCCGGCTATTACCTCTTTAAGCAAAATCCGACAATTCTCCACAACACTACGTCGTCGATCGGATACGTTGTTCAGGACATCTTCGGGCGATTGATGAAGGTTATCGATAATTTTGCGAAGCTCGTTCAATTCCATTACGGTGGCTTCTAATTTTATCTCCAAGTTAGATCTGCAAATAATCCGTTCCAATTAATAATTAACATTCCAATTAATAATAACATTAAATTAATCATTACAATTCAATTAAATTTATTAAACTTACTTTTCTTCTTTCAATTCCTGTATACACGTATCGTTGTCAAGCTGTATGATTCGTAACACTTTCAGAAGTTTGGTAACGAGATTGTCCACCTCGATCACTTGATCGACAAGATCCACAGATGGACAGTAATCCACCAAAGGCATAGGACCATCGTTGGTCCCAGTGTCAGATTCGCTCACGGAATCGCAATCGTCATCACCCTCGTCTTCCACCTGTAAATTTTAACATGATTAATTATTATTACTTCATTTTATATCTTTTACTTTCCGAGTTTAATTTAGATACTTGCTTTACGACGATGTAAGATTGCCTGGGTGAGATTCGTGAGACTAGTACACTCATCGATGTATTTTGTCTTTCTCATATTATGCTCATCCGACGTTTCGGAGAAACTCAGTGCTCTGCGGAGAGAATCGCTGCTCGATACCATGTTATGCGAATATGTGTCTGGCAGTGGTACATCTTCCAGAACGCTTTCCATCATCAAACATGGCTCAGTTTCAAAATCAAGCAAATCAGACGATGATTCCATACTTAGTTCTAGAAAATAAAAATTGTACTTTTAACGAATTTCAATATAATCTCCTTATTTTAACATTTTGTATTCTATTACCTTTGTAAATCTGTTTAGATGAATCTAAACTGGATTTTTTATCGAGGTTGTTTCTCGCCGCGAAGGGATGCGTCGCAGCGTTCCGAATAGCGCTGATCACTGCAGAAACGAAGGATCCACTCTTTGGGCTCGGCGTGCGTTCTTTCAAACTCTGCTTAGAGCTAACCGGACTAGACTCCATGCTACTGTTACTTCTGCTGTATGCTTCGTTATGATATATGACATCCTTTTTAGGAAAAAAATTACAATACATTTAATAATAACTGAAGAAAATAATTTTTTAATTATTAAATGTAGAAAAAAATGAGCAGAAAGAAATAGTTAATAGAATATTAATCTTTCATCTATCGTAATCATTTATATATTTATTTACAGGAAATAGAGTATGTTATTATTGTTCATTCACATAAAGTTTATTTAATAACAATGTAAACTATTTTATATGCAAAAGATAATTTTTATCGTTGTACTTACCTCAAGATCTTTTACTGAAATATTATAAGAAGCGATCAATTGATCTACTAGTCCTTCCAATCTGGTGCTAAGTCCCGAAAGAGCTACAGCCGCTCCGGACATGGCAGCGCCTTGAGTGAGTAAAAGTTCTCTACTTCTTCGTTCGACGGCATTCAACTTTAGACTCATTGATAAATTTTCTTGCCTAAAAACAGATAAAAAAATCAATCGTTAAAATATACTTTATAATGTCTGGTATAAATATTGTCAATAATTTTCATGAGACACACACCTTCTTTGTTCGCTAATTCGCACTAAATGCTTACACTCTTCTATTTGCCTTTCTAATTCCGTTTCTTTTTGAGTTAAAGCTTCCCCTTTCTTCTTAAGCTATAAAAAACAAATGAGTATGAAATAAATAGTACATACTTCAAGAAACGAATGTAGGAGATAGAATTTAAAATTTAAAAATACCTCCAATTCGGCATCCTTAAGTGCATCCGCCAAAGTAGCCTTCTCCTCTTGGAGGAAATCTTGCATCTCGGCTGATTCGGCTTCCAATTCTTGTTGCTGTTGTAGCAAAGCTTTCTGCGCGGCTAGACTTTTGTCCAAATCCTTCAATAGAAATATTATAAAGATATTTTTTTACAGGAAAAATTACAGAGATAATTTTCATATTATAATTATAATTATTGTAGCTATGATATTCTTACCCTGTTTAACATACGACAGAGCGATTGCAGATCAGCTATTTCGACTTGCTGATTAGCAACAACTTGTCCCGAGGATTGTATATGACATTCAAGTTCGAGGAAGCTATCGCTACCTTCTGAAAAGAAATTTCATCAACTTATTTTCTACAAATTTTATTTCTATAAATAAAATATCTATAGATATGCAATATAAAATAATCTCGCTTTATGAATAAATTTATCATTTGTTTTTGCACTATTACTTTATTCGTTGAATTACCTGCATGTTCCGATTGCGGTGTGCCTAGCATAGCCAGTACTCGTTGTGCGTTCCTATTAAGTTCTTGACGTGCAAACGCGTGATCGGCCCGTTCCTCTTCAAGAAGACGATTCGCTTCGGTTAACTCGAACTTCAATTTCTCGTTCTCTTTTCGCAGACTGCTGCTTTCCTCGTTTAAGCGTTTCAAATTATCCTGCAAAGTTTGCACGTCATTCCATGCGTCCTCCGTTTGGCAACCCTTGTGCAGTCTCTCGATGACCTCGGGCCCGGCGATCGCACTTGGTTGTCCGGACATCACGTTCTCGATGTCCTGCCCGGTCAAGCCGGTCTGCGCACTAGTTTCGTGATATATACGAGTCTTCTCGACGGTTCTTTGTCTGGAATATGGTGGTAAACTTTTATGAGCAGAAGACGAATCTCTCCCGATGATGTTCTTTTTCTCAATGGTTCTGCTGAGACTAACGTCTCGACTTCCGGATCTACTTCTTGCCATCTTGTCCGTCTTCTCTCCAACTTTCGAAATCATCAATTTATTTCTGTTCCTACGCGGTAACGTTGCGTACGTATCGAGTGCCTTGTTATCTTGACTAGTAGTTTTATTATCAGCACGTGAGATGGTACTTTTTGCACAGAGAGCACGAGAAGTTGACAAAGACGGTACCTTCATTCTCGTTTCCTCGGACGGCGTAGACGCCGGCGTTCGCGCTCCCCGCGTACTGGATGTGGTTCTCGATCTCGACGAATCGTTCCTGATGACTCTCCCGCTACGCTGCGCAAGATCCTTGTTGATCTCCGTGGTCAGTGCGGATGGCAGCGAATCGGGCAACACTCTCGTCCTAGTCTTCGCGATTGAGGACGAAGTGGGAGTAGATACCGAACTGGACATTACGTTGCTGCTAGACCGACAACCATACGTCACCGTACTACGACTTCCAACAGGCGTCTTGGAGACATCCCCAACGAGCGACGAGTTCGATTCTCGGGCGCTCAATTTCTCTCTCGATCGTGGTCGATGGTCCCGTTCCCTGCTCGTGCCTTGAGTCTTGGTCAGTATGTTTCTAGGAGTTGC